CTACGGCAGGGAGGTGGAAATTTCAGACACAATTTGGACTCCACAAACAAGTTTTGAGAGCGGTTCTCAAAGATACAGCGTGTCCTGTGAGGTGGAGAGCGCCCGGTTCCCCGGGGTGTTCACGCTGCCGTGCAGGGATATTAGACGGTACCTGCAGGTAGGAGGAGGCACCTGCCGTCTCCTTTATGATCCCTGTCTCCTTTGAGTGTTGGAATAGCCCAGACCGAATGGTCCCTCAGAGTCACATTTGAAAAAATGAGTAATAGCATTAGAGTTAGCGTTAATCCAAAGCCACCTGTTTTCAATTCTGAGCAGCCCAGAGCCCTGCCAGCCTTTCCATTCGCCCGAGTCAGGTGGCCTGGCAAGCCCGTGGCCTTCTTCCCAGCCCCCAGCTTCCTTGAACCTTAAAATCACCTTAAAGGGCCACCTTTAAATCACTCCCCCGTCAGAACAACAGCGCTCACGAAGATGGACAACGATGAGCCCCAAGTCCCCGACCCTGCTGTCGCGGCCCGATGTCCCCGAGAGTCTAAACGGCGCCCAGGGCCCTCCCGCTCCCAGCCGACGTGGCGCTCGCGCCGGCAAAGCGCGCACTTGAAGCTGAGCAATCAAACCTCCCTCTAGCGGCCCGAGCTCTAACACCGTCGCCCTCCAGAGCCGCGGGCGCGGAGACACCGCGGAGCCGCCGCGCGGGCTTGACATTCCGGCGTCCGGCGCTGCGGCTCCCACGCGGCCGCCAGCCGCGCCCGGCGCTTAGTCACCGCGGCGCTATGCGGGGAGGCGACGGCCCGCGCCCGGCCTCCCTCCCCAACGCACTTGACGTCTTCTCAGGCTTTCAGTGCAAGAGGGCGGGGGTGTGTGTGTGTGTGTGTGACAGGTTGATGACCTTAGTCCAGTGCTGCTGGGGCTTTTCCTTTTCGGCTACCCTAAGGAATGAGGACAGAACATTTGCTGAGCCCTTGCTCAGCCTGCAGGGCACTGCTTCTTAGTGATTTTTAAATCAGCTTTGTGGAATTCAAGCTCTAGCCGATATGCTTAGACCTGTGACAGGCACGGACCAGGTGCAGACGGGGCATAGCCGCTGGCCTGTCCCATCCCAACCAGCACCGGGGAAACTCACAGACTCTACCTCCCGCCCCCACCTCCCTCTCTCCTGCCCTGAACTCTGCCTCAGTCTCAGGCTTGTCAGCAAGGTGGGGTTCATTCCGCAGGTGTCACCACACTTCTTTTTACATGTGAACGATAACTTTGTCTCAGTCACGCTCACTCTGGTTTCCACAAATGGAAGAGGTGCTCTGAGAGTGCTTATTATTTTGATATAAAATGCAGCCAGATGGATGCCCCAGGGGACTTTGGTGACGATAAGCTAGCACAAAAATAAGGTGAACAAAACCTACGGTGCCCAGCAGCGTCAATAGCATTTCTTTCCTGTGTGAAAGAGCACTTAGGTGTGTGGCTGGAATGCCAAATGGGACTGCACAGCTTACATTACCAGCCTGGGTTGGTCTCAAGAGGCTATGCCCCTCTCCTGCCCTGAACCCTTGCTCTCTGAAGAACCAGTTAGCATCAAAGGAATGTGTTTCCCTCTCTGAAAGAGTCACCAAGTACCAGGGCTTTCCTGGCTCTGGCAGCCTAAGCGCTCCGACCCCAGCCCCTTATTTAATTCACATTACACATTGCAGGGGAGGGACAGACAAATGGAGAATGAATGTTTTTCTTACCTGCTCTCTTTACCACTACGACAAAGCCCTGGGGCAGCAAAAAATACTGTAGAACTGCAGTAAAACATTTGATCCACTTTGGTAGAAGGCGGCAACTTCCCATAGTAAGTGCCTCCTATAAAGCACCCCAGTGAGAGAGAGAGTTCTCTCTCCCCCATGAATGTGGCATGGGGGCCTCCTCTTGGGAACAGACAAACAAGGTGCAGATAAGGCATTTATGTGCCCATGGCTCACCACAGATTGGGGACTGTTTTTATTTCACCCTGCCAAACAATGAAACAGTCACTCATTGGCAGCATTACGGAAGAAGGAAGAAAAAGGGTCTAGTTCTTTGGTCTTTAAGAACAGATCAGTGACCAATTTGTTATTAACCCAATAGTTGTGAAAAATCACTCCAATGTCTTTTACTTCTCTTAATGAACATAATAAATTGGTCAGCTGGCAAATATGGTTGATAGATTTCACTTATTCACACAAAAATATCCGTTTACCTCTTGACATGCAATGGAATTATATCAACATAGGAGATAAAAATCCCTGCCTCTGTGAAACTTACATTCTAGTGCCTTAATCTGGGACTTCCCAACCTCCAGAACTGTGATAAATTTCTATTGTTACAGAAAAAAAACAACAAAAAAATAGATCAGTGGTGGTGGTGGCATATTTTGGGCTGGATTTTTGCTGAGATGAAATGCAGTGAGTTGATGGTTGATGTCTCTGGTCAATACACGGATTTAAATAACCAGCAAGAAGGGAGTGGAACAGTTTTTCCAATTCTTTTCAAGAAAATACATTTTGAATATACAATGAATTGGATGTAATTTTCAACACACTTTCAAACCAATCTACTGAGCTGAAGAAAGAGATGAGAAATGTAACGAAATTCTGATATACATTGAATCTACTTTAAAAAAATGGACAGGAAAAAGAAAATTTCAGATGTTTTTTATTCAAAGGTTCTCAAAAGAAATAAAACAGAAAAGCTAACAATCTGATCAAATGTACAGTTCAAAAATGTCTTTTGGCGTTTAACAACAAGTCCTAGGAAAGAAAACTCCAGAGTTATCTTGAACCGGACAAATAAGTTACCACTGGCAAGTTTGTGGCACTAGTAAAACAAAAATAAAAAATTAACTCTCTTGATCATATAGATATCTCTATGAAAATCTTTTTTTCAATCTGTACAAAAGGTCTTTCTTCATAAATTAATTTTTTATAATTTAATGGCTGTCTACTATGTGATGTTTAACTGATTTTTTTTTTATTTTTTTATTTTTTTATGTACAGAGGTTATGTTTCCCAAATCTTACCCAGACGAGTATGGCACTTAGTTCAGACATTTCTAGCAGCAGACTTCCCCTCTCCTCTAACTGAGCTATCAAATTTCCATCTTAACTAATGCAAAAATATCAAGTAGTGAGAGACCCAGATTTATAAATGTACTAGGTACACAGAGGGTGCTGCGTTCAGTCCGGACTTTCACAAAGCAGTAATATTCCAGGGAGCATAGAACCAATAATACCACAACTTTAAAAAAAGAAAACAAAAACAAAAACAAAAAAACACATTTCTCTTATGACTATGCAATTTTCACTAGAATCTACACTTCTCAGAGCAGCAAGGACTTTTGAAACTATGAAATGTCACTGACATCTATAATCAAATACAAGCATAAAATTTAAGAACTAAAAAATACTCGAAAGAAATAACTGCTTAGCCCTAGCTCCTGAGCTAGGAGGATTTGGTCTGTGGAAACAGGGAGGGCCAGCAACCTGTCCCAGCAAAAAGAAAATAGACTCTGAGGTAGATAACTGATCATACACAGCTGACCAGACAAGTACACAGTTTTGGAAGACAACTTAATTTACCATTGCTTTTAAAACGTATGTAATTGCCTTAATAAAAGAGCTTTAATAACAGTGAATTATATGTATTAAAGTAAAAATAACTGTGTATTTATGAAATCAGGAATTTCATAGTTTCAAAATTGGTTTTCTTTACACTTGAACACTTGTAGTGATGACGTAAAGTGTGGCACTGCTTGGATCCAAATCTTCCTTCATGCTTTTTTGTTTGTTGGTGTGTGTCCATACATCAGTTAAAATTATAAAACCTAAATGCAAAGGTACAAAAAAGGCACATTCTCCTAACCGCAAACTGGTCCGGCAAAAATAAAGAGCACAGAAGATGTGATGCTGAGACAAGTTGGAGCTACTGGTTACTGGCTCTTCGGTCTTTGGTGAAGTTACCTTTAAAAGTGCCAAGTCATTTTTATTTTCAAATTTACCTAATAGAAAGAGAGAGAGAGAGCTAGTAGCCAATCGTTTTGTTTCTATACATATCTCAGCCTATGTTTGAAGATAAATCCTTACTTTTTAGCTTTTGCCATTTTGTTGCAATAGCAACATTTTTCGGTTTGCCAGATTTCAGGCGTAATTCTCATTCTAAAGCACTATCATTAGTATAAAGGAAGGACAAGACATTCAGTGACTCCCCTCCCCCACCCCCCTCCCCCAGCCCCAACTCTACCTACACTAAATCTAGAACATCAAGTTAGTTTTTTTTTTTTCCTGAAAAAAGGCAAAAAAGACTTTACATTGCATCATACAGCAGATATCCTAAATTAGTCGATCCTATCAGAGGAAACTGTTGGCGTACAGCCTTACAAACAATTTACCCTATTAAAAGTTCCCCAGTCAGAAAATGTGTTTCACACAAAACATTTTTCCCTTCTTGCATTTCACTACTTTACACATTATGTGAAAAATCATTAAAAACACCTACTACATATTTTAAAAAAGCCAAAATTTCAGCAACTTTTATTGACTACCTTTTAAAAGCCCTATGCTGCTGTTTTACAAGGCATAATAGACCAGCTCATTTGGTCAAAGCATTCTACATCATTAGTTTGAACTAACTTTTACTGAAACAGCTACAGCATCAAAAGAGTTAAGGCAAATTGGAATTCATAGAAAAGGATAAGACACTTCACACTACGTGGAAAGAAAAACAGAAAGCTAAGGAAAGAGACACTGACGGCAACGCTGAATTACAGCAGCACTCGCACGGCAAGCACAGATACCATGGCTGAAGTTGGACTATTAAACTTCAGAAAGCCCATTTCATACAGCTGAAAAAAAAAAA